ATAAATATTTACAATTGTTAGATCTTGTTGGATAGACCCTTTAATTATGATATAATGTCCTTCCTTATCTCTTATTACAGTCTAATAAAAATCTAATTTGTCTGATATAAGGATTGCCATCCCAGCTTTCTTTTGATGTCCATTAGCATGAGAATGGTTTTCCACCCCCTCACTTTAAATCTGGAGGTGGCTTTGGGTCTCAAATGAGTCTCTTGAAGACAGCATATCAATGGGTCTTGCTTTTCTATCTATACTGATGCCCTGTATCTTTTGATTGGGACATTTAGCCCATTCACATTCAGAGTAACTATTGAAAGATAGGAATTTAATGCCATTGTATCTCCTGTAAAGTCCCTGTTTCTGTATATTGTCTCTGTTCCTTTTTGGTGTATGTTACTTTTGGCCTCTCTCTTTGCTTAAAGGATCCCTTTTAATATTTCTTGCAGGGCTGGTTTAGTGATCACAAATTCTGTTAGTTTCTGTTTGTCCTGGAATTTTTTTTATCTCTCCTTCTATTTTGAATGACATCCTAGCTGGATAAAGTATTCTTGGCTGCCTATTTTTCTCATTTAGCACCCTGAATATATCATGCCAGTGCTCTCTGGCCTGCCAGGTCTCTGTGGATAGGTCTGCTGCCAGTCTAATGTTTCTACCCTTGTAGGTGACAGACCTCTTGTCCTGAGCTGCTTTCAGGATTTTCCTTTGTCTCTGAGATTTGCAAGTTTCACTGTTATATGTTGGGGTAACCTATTTTTATTGATTTTGAAGGGGGTTCTCTGTGCCTCCTGGATTTGAATGCCTTTTTCCTTCCCCAGATTAGAGAAGTTTTCTGCTATAATTTGCTCCAATATACCTTCTGCTGCCCTCTCTCTCTTTCTTCTTCTGGGGTCCCAATTATTCTGATATCATTTATCTCTTGAATTCTCCCCTCATGATCCAGTCATTGTTCATCTTTTTCTCAGCTTCTTTATTCTTCATCATTTTGTCTTCAATATCACTAATTCTCTCTTCTGTCTCATTTATCCTAGTAGTTAGAGCCTCCATTTTTTATTGCATCTCACTGATAGATTTTTTAAATTTCAACTTGATTAGGTTTTAGTTCTTTTATGTCCCCAAAAAAGGATTCTCTAGTGTCTTCTATACTTTTTTCAAGCCCAACTAGTGTCTTTATAATCGTTATTCTGAACTGTAGTTCTGACATCTTTTTTTCTTAAGATTTTATTTATTCATTTGAGACACAGAGATATATATAGAGAGAGAGCATGAGCAGGGGGAGAGGCAGAGGGAGAGGGAGGAGCAGGCTCCCTGCTGAGCCAGGAGCCCAAAGTGGGGCTCAATCCCAGAACCCCAGCATCATGACCCAAGCCGAAAGCAGACACTTAATCATCTGAGCCACCCAGATGCCCCCTGACATCTTACTTATATCCATACTGATTATGTCCCTGGCAGTCAATACTGCCCTTTATTCTCTCTTTTGAAGTGAGTTTTTTCATCTTATCATTCTGTCCAGAGAAGAATAGATGAACAAGAGAAAAGAATATTAAAGACAACAATAACCCCAGAGAAATATACACTAAGCAAATCAGAAGAGACCTGAACAAAAACAAAACAAAAAAAGAGAGACTATAATCAGACAGTTGAATAGGAGAGAGAAATACACTGGATCCTGTGTGTACTTTGGTCTGTTTGTTAGAAAACTAGATCCCAAAATTATAAAGAAAGAATAACTTATATATATACAAAAATAAAATTAAATACAATGAAAGGATAGAATATCACTGTAAAAATGAAAATTAAAAGACAAAAAAAGAAAAAAGAATGCATAGCAACAGACAGGTGAACAGAACAGAGTAATATACTATATCCTGAGTGTATTTTGCTTGGTTTGTTGGAAGAGACTACATCTCAAAATTGTAAAGAAAGAAAAACTTACATATATATACAAAAATAAAATTAAATACATTGAAAGAATAGACTATAACTGTAAAGATGAAAATTAAAAAATACTTTAACAGCAAAAAAGAGAAAGAATATGATCAGACAAGTGAAGAGAACAGAGCCGTACACTAGATTCTGGGCATATTTTGGTCTGTTAGTAAGAAGAAACTGTATCCCAAGGTAGTAAAGAAAGAAAAACTTATATATATGAAAATAAAATTAAATACAATGAAAAGATAGAATGTAATTGTAAAAATAAAAATTAAAAAAGATTTAAAAAAAGAGTTGATACTATAAGAAATTCATTGAAAAAATAAAGAGAAAAAAACATTAAAGTTTAAAGACTAAAGAATCATGGGAAAAACACCATGAATTGTATATACTATTTTCCCAGCACTGGAGTTTTGCAGTTCTCTGTGATTGATAAACTTGGTCTTAGCTGATGTTCTTGCTGATCTTCTGGGGGAGGGGCCTGTTGCACTGATTCTTAGGTGTCTTTGCCCCAGGCAGAATTGCACCATCCTTGCCAGGGGGCCACGCTAATTAATCTGCTCCAGATTGCCCTATGTGATTTTTGTTCCCTGAATGCATTCTGCAGGGCTTTAGAGGTTGAGAATGAAAATGGCAGGCTCCCAATCTCCAGCCCTCAAGCCAAGAGCTCAGGGCCCCACTACTCAGTGCACCCTCAGGGAAAAGCAGTCAATCACTCCTGTCTCCCTGGTCTCTGTCCACTTTCTGTGCTCACCTAGCCTATGACTGAGCATTTGTATCTCAGGCACACGACTGGGTTTCAAGTCTCCAAACCCTGCAGCCTCCTGTGGCTCATACCCATGCTGCTCATCTCAGGGGAGGAAGGGGATCTTGCTGGTTCTGCCACTTGCTGCGCCCCTGCTTGGAGAGCAGTCCCCCAACCATGCTGTGGTTTGTGGTTTATGGCAACCTCAAGCTGAGAGCCCACGCCTGGGCTCACTGATTGCAGCTGGCTTTCCCGCTCTGATGCCTAGGAACTATGCCATTCTCAGGCACCTCCAGTCTTCTGTGACCCCGGGGATCCTGAGATTAGGATTCTGTTCTGCTTCACCACCTAAGCACCTTCAAGGCAGGGACGTCCCTCCTTGTGCTCCGGTGCTATATCACTTTCTGGTGCTGGCTGATGGAGGCTCCCCCTGCCCATGGTTTATCTTCCCATATATCACCTCAGATTCACTTCATCTGCACCTCCTACCTTGCAGAAAAGACAAGCCACTAATTATGGGAGCACATATTTGAAAGGCTTAATTGATAAAATTTCACCAACCACAGTATGTCCTATAATTCAGTAAGGAAAAGAAAAACCCAAGAAAGATGGGCAAGACTTGAACAGAAGAGCGAATGCAATAGGAAGTGAAAAGGTGTTCACCATGTTGGCAGCCAAAGAAACTCAAATTAAATCACAAGAAGATTGGGAACGACTTGGCCACATAGAATGTGGCTGGGGGCCAGAACACTTCCTCACCGAGAGATAAAGTGCCCACAAGGACTCTGTTGGGCTTATTGCCTTTTGTGGAAATATTTTTCAGACTCTCTGAGTGCTACTTTGTTCTCCTTAAATGCATGAGCCAGTGACCCTCAGGCACACCCCACTTAGGGCCAGGGTTCTCCTGCAGGACAAGTGGGTACATGCAGCCAACAAGCCCACATGGGCTGCTGAGTAGATGCATCGGCCATGGGGGACAGAAGTACTGCCTAGATCCCTCTCTCTCTCCTTCTGCTGTAAGTAAACTCTGCAACCCCTGAGCCTGTGTGCATGTTGTCTGTTCTCAGTGACCTTGAAACCTGCATGGGCCTCTTTCCTGCTCACACTTACCTGCCTTGGCTGCACAGCCTGGCCAACCTGTGGATGGTGAAACAAAGCACTCTTTCAAACTGGCCAAAGTTAACAACATAAATGTCTGACAAACCAAGTAGTCACACACAGAGGCAGGGCAATAGGGGCCCTCAGTCATAGCTGATGAGAGCTAAGTGGGGCCACTAATGGGTTTGGAAAATCATTTGGCATTATCTAGCATGGTTGGGTGTGCACAAACCCTAAACCCCAGCAATTCCATCCCTAAGTATGTACCCTAGTGAAATCATTTCACATATGTACTAGGTGACCTGTACAAAAATGTTCATGGCAGCTCTGGCTGTGAAATAGCCCCAGATGGGAACGACCCAAAACCATCAACAGAAAAATGGATAAATCAGATGTGGTGTATCTTATCTTCTCTCATCTGAAGGGCTGTGTGTCTGGGTAGCGTATCCAAAGGCATGAAGGGCTGAAGCTTCTCTTGGTCGGGGTGCCCAGAAGGAGGGAGGACACCCCGAAGCCAGCACTGAGCATGGTCAGGAGCAGGGACACCTCCAGGATGACCAGGAGTGGGAAGTGGACCTTGCTAAGCAGGGACCTGTGGGGGACACAGTGACAGACACTGAGCTGCCTCCTCAAGAGGAGGCCCCAGCTCCCTCCTTTCTGCCCCCAGGTCTCTCTGATCCAAGACCCTGTGGACCTAATAACCACATTTGGGCCAGACTTGGATATCTGGATATACTCATTCCCAACCCCTCAGCTCAGCAGCTGACTTTGGGCATTAGGTAGGCCGACACTGAGAAGAGAGAGAGGGTTTGCCTGGGCAGGACCTGGTTTCCACAAACAGCTGCTTTATCCTAAGCCCCGCCCCCTCCTTTCACCATCCATACTCCCAAGAACTCAGTTCAGGTTGGGACTGTTTTTGGTGATTTCTCACAGGTCAAGGTCTACATAGGCTGGTGCTAGCTACATAGGCTCCTGGTGAATATTTGGTGAGTGGATAGAGAAAGGAAGGAATGTTGAGTGGAGAGGCTGCCCTGGGGGTTCTCAGGAGGGCATGGTCACCAAAAAGCAGGCCCTCCCTCACCTTGGGCTCCCCTGGCCAACAGGCTGTGCTTGGCGCTCTCTGCTAGCAAGTTAGGGGTCCTATGGAGTGCTTTCCCGTTCTCCCCACCAAATCACTTCGCACATCTACTTGTGTGTGTGTGATACATTTCATTGCATTTATTCGAGCATGTATTTATTTATTTATTTATTTTTACCAGTTTTTGGCAATAAGGTGAGAAGAGATAGAAGGTTTGGGGTCAGAAGTTCTTCCTCCTCTAGTCTGAGTGGCGGTGTCTCTGGACAGGATATCGATGCTCAAGGAGGGCCGCAGGTTGTCTTCATCAGGCTGACTCTGTGTCCCACAAATTGCCCACTGAGGCCTGTTGACCCAGAGGACGGCACTGAGCATAATCAGAAACAAGGGTACCTTCAGGAGAATGAGGAGCAGAAAGTGGACGCTGCCAAACAGGGACCTGTAGGAGGGACACGGTGACTGAGAGGTGTTTCCTCCTGGACATGAGACTCAGGCTCTGCCTCTCCCCCACCTGCTTTTGTGCTCAGGTCCTGTGGTCTCAAAAGTCAATATCAGCGTCAACGCTGATTGGTACCAGGGCCGGACGGCCCTGCACTGAGGGCCCCACGCTCCTGTCCTTCAGCTCAAGCCTCGACCTTGAGCATCCGGACTCAGCAGACACGTGAGGATGTGGTGGTGAGGAAGGGAAGGAAAGGGAGATGAGGGCACCCAGGAGGCTCTGGCTCCCAGAAACTCTCTGCGAGTTCAGAAAGCAGAGGGCACTCAGGGCCTGAGCTTCTGGGGCTGTCACCTGCCCCTAACCAGACCCAGGCCTGGCCAGAGTGTGGCAAATCCCCACTCAACAGCATCCCTATCTGCTCTGCAGATGGACACATCATAATCCAGGACCAGAGAAGCATCACCTTCCCCATTAAGCACTTCAGCATCCCTCATCTCACCGGAAACAGGAATGTTGGAATGTTGGCACAGGAGCTAGACCTCAGGTCCCACCCCCAGGCAGTGCGGCCCCCAGACTTGTCCACCCTGCCAGAAGACTGCAGAAGTCAATTCAGGAAGTTTGACAACAGGGACACACAACCCTGTGAGCACAGGAGGGTGGCATGAGCTCCCTGGTCCTGATAGAGATGCACAGCCCAGAGCTCTCCATGTGGACACCAGCCGCAGAGTCCCCGAGTCCCACAGCTCTTGTCAGGCCCTGGGCTAGCGGCAGGGGCCTTGGATGTCACTCTCCCACCTTCCCTCACGCTCATGGGCTCTCACACACGCATGCACACGCATGCTCTTTCACACTCATGCACACTCCCACCCACCCACCTTTCCCACACACACCCACATAGCCCACTTGGTCCCGAGTCTCTGAGGCCTAAATACCAGGCCTGGTTCTTTTCTCCAGAGTTGAGATTTGCTCAGATGCTCTGCAGGGATTAGCTCACATCCCTTCTTCCGTGGCAGCAAAGAAAAGCAGGGTCTTACCTGGGGGAAACAAACACTTGAACCTGGAAAAAGAGGTCAGGCAGGAAACCATGGAGTCCTTCTTCATGCAGTATTGTTGCGATCCCACACCTGTATTTTCCTGCATCATCTGCAGTGAGGTTCTCCAAGGTCACTGTGAAGGTGAGGTCCCCAGGATGGTCCACGATGGACACGCGGCCACTTCTCATCTCTTCCTCAGACCCTCTGGCGGCCACAATCTCGTTCCAAAGTAGCAAGCACGGTTGTCGGCACCAGTATTTGGTAAATGTCTTGTATTTCTCCTCGTACCGACACTGGACTCTCAGGGACCCCCCCACGGTGCCCATCACAGTGCTGGGGCCACTCAGAGACAAAGAGCTTGAAAGACACCATCAGTATATTCTTCACCTGAAGAGCCTGGGCTGGAGGGGCCTTAGGAGTCAGGTCCCCTGGAAGCCCAGACGTCACCCTGAGGCTGGAGGGGGGAGGAGCAGGAACCAGGGAGGTATGGGCTATTGGCAGATACAAGGGGGGAAACCTGAGGAGATGCCTGCTATGTGATTCTGGGACTCAAGAGGCCATGCCCAGCCTGCGTGTCCTCAGCCAACAGGGGAGAATGTGGGGGGAGAAGATTTTGGGTGGCCCCAGACAGGTTCTGTGTCCCTAGACATGTCAGTACTGAGAGGAAACAACTGTGCCCATCAATCACCAAGGACTGAATGACGCCACTGAGTATACTCTGAATAAACGGATGCATGGATGCATGGATGAATGGACCGACAGACAGATGGAATAGGAAACAGGAAACAAGAATGGGAACCAAGGAAGTCCAGATGAAGCGCAGTGTTGAGAGCTAGAAGGAAGCCTTCAGCTTCTGGCTACATCCCCTTCCTAAATGATCATCTGTAGGCCCCAAGCTTATAACCCCTGCTTGTATAGGTGGAACCTCCTGCTCATAGGTCTGGGTCACACAAGAGGTGGGCATTGGCCAGGGGGTATAAAGGGGCCATCAGGAAGGGGTTCATTTTGGCTATGATTTAAGGACAACCACACCTCAATTTCCCTCCTGGGATAGAATCCTATGGCAACATTTGCCATCACCTAACATCTTTAGGGACTCCCTGCTCCACGCTACTCCCTCCTCCACCCCTCGGCAGCCACCCACCAAACTTGGCATGCCCTGGGCCTCATCTCTAGCTCTTCTGCCACCTCCAAAGTTGTGACATTGTCCTCCCTCCTCCAGTCACCCTGGAGGCTCCAGTTTTAAATAATCAGGATGCAGCCCCCTAAACTCTGTGCTTCCTGTCTAGAGAGCCATGCTGGCCCCAGACACCTGAGGGGTCCTCATTACTCCAAGGCGTGGCTGTTATCTGACCTGCTCTTAACAAGGAAGGGTGGGTAAGGGGATACTGAGAAACAATTTGGGCTAAACACCAAACTTCTGAAAAAGAATTGTGCATGTCCTCTACCTATCATCCATCTGTCTGTCCGTCTATCCATCTGTCCACACATCCATCCATTCTTCCCTCCCTCCATCCACTTATCCAGGCAATATATTGTCATCCATAGAATGTGAGTCATTCCTATTTTTTATACTAAATTTAGAAGAAAAATTATATTTTTTGCTTCTTCATTTTAAGTACCTTGCATTTTCTCACTGCATTTCCCAGCAAGCAAGCTCGAGTGGCGCACTGACCGATATTCTCCATCACAAGGCTACGTGCCTCTCCCACCAATAATCTGCAGAGCAGTGGCTCTCAACCAGGGGTCATAGTGCCCCACCCCCAGGAGACATTTGGCAATGTCTGAAGACATTTTTGGTTGTTACAGCTTGAGGGGTGGAGAGTTGCTACTGGAATCCAGTGGGTAGAGGCAAAGGATGCTGCTAAACTTCCTACAGGGCGCAAGACAGCCCCTCGACACAGAATGATCCAGCCCCATTGTCAAAAGTGGGGAGGCTGAGGAACTGTGCTCAAGGGGCCAAAATTTCCCAGCCTGAGGCCCTCCCGACACAGGCTTGGGGCTGGGGGAGTGGGAGCAGCAACACTGAATCTTCTCTGTGCAGTTGCTGCTGACGGGGGATCCGGCTGTAAGGGTGCCTCAGTGGGGGGGAGTGGACCCTTCAGAGCAGGGTTCCCACTTTGCCTCCTCTTTCAGTTGCTTAAGCCCCAGCCTTGAAGATCTGGGGCTGCTTCCTCAGGTCTGGATGAGAAAACATTGTCAGGGATGCTCTGTTACACCCAGACCCTGACCCTGAGCCCGCACAGTGTCCCCCCACCCCACCCTCTAACCCCACAGCAAGCTTCCTGCCCACCACAGCCTGAAAAAGAAACTCCTGACTCCCAAGTGCACCGTAGGACATTCAGCAAAACCCCTGGCCCCTCCCCACTAAATACCAATAGCACCCTTCCCCCAGTGGCAAGAGGCCAAAATTGTCAACTGGCATTGCCTAACGTCCCCTGAGGTAAATTCATCCTTGCTGGGAGCCACAGTTTTGGAAGAAGAGGGTTTATTCAAGAGAACCTGGGATAGAAATTCCCAGGCAAGAAGGCTGAGCTGTGGGCTCCTGTCCTTGGAATGTCCTCTGTCCTGATGAGCATGCTGTATTTTGCAGCTATTCCTTCGTGGTGTCTCTTCACCACGAGCTCAATCCTGAAGGGTGAGGGTGCTCTCCCCTCTGTCTCAGCTGCCTCTCAGGTGCTGCTCGATCCTCTCCCACCCTGGGTTCTTTCTAGAATCCCACAGATGGTGCTTGCTCTATACCCATTAAGCCTCTGACACTTCCTACAGCTCTGACTTGTAAAGATACTGCTTTTAGTAATCTTAAAAAAATAAATATAAAATAAAAGAGACCTCGGGTTCTCTGCCTATGAGTGTTAAGGGCAAGTAATTGGCTAGACAGACAGATATATCTCCTTTAGAAGCAGGAGGCTGGCCTAGTATGAGGTCTCTTCTGACCCTTGTGTGTATGGCCCCCCTGCTAGGCTTGTGGTGACTTGCCCACAGCATCTCTGTTGCTGGATGGTCATGGACTAGAACCCAGACTCGTGTGTTTTCCCTTTGGCGTCAGTCTTCTTACTGGTCAACCAGCTCCTATGCATTTTCAGACTCAGGCTTACAGACCAATTGAATCATAACTCTCATTAATTACAGAAAGTCTCTAAATATCATTGAGATAAAAAGTAGGAAAAGAGAAGCTTGCATTGCTGGAGGCTACCTTCAAGAATGAGACTTCTTCCCTGAACTCTTCACCATCCCAATGCCAGAGTGATAAACCAAAAGGATCCTCATCGGGTATTATGCTGAGTGAAATAAGTCAATCAGAGAAAGACATGTATCATATGACCTCACTGATATGAGGAATTCTTAATCTCAGGAAACAAACTGAGGGTTGCTGGAGTGGGGGTGGGGTGGGAGGGATGGGGTGGCTGGGTGATAGACATTGGGGAGGGTATGTGCTATGGTGAGCGCTGTGAATTGTACAAGACTGATGAATCATGGATCTGTACCTCTGAAACAAATAATGCAATATATGTTAAGAAAAAAAGAAGAAGAAGAAGATAGCAGGAGGGGAAGAATGAAAGGGAGTGAATCAGAAGGGGAGACGAACCATGAGAGACGATGGAGTCTGAAAAACAAACTGAGGGTTCTAGAGGGGAGGGGGATGGGAGGATGGGTTAGCCTGGTGATGGGTATTAAAGAGGGCACGTTCTGCATGGAGCACTGGTTGTTCTACGCAAACAATGAATCATGGAACACTACATCACAAACTAATGATGTAATGTATGGTGATTAACATAACAATAAAAAATTTAAAGAACAAAAGGATCTTCATCAGTATGACCTACTTGAGAGTCAGTATAATTTTATATTTCAATCTGGCTAATCCCAACCCTAAAGGGCGGTGGGGCTGTGTCTTTTTATGCCCGAGAAGTCCAGTGTCACTATGCAGGATACATGTGCTTGATATGGGCCATCTCAGATTTATCTTAGTAAATGTAACAAATTACTTTTTAGATCCTCAAATTTATAACAAAATTACTTTACCTATCCTGGTCACCAAAATTTGGTGTTTTAAATATGCTTTATTTTTTAAATTTATTTTTTTAATTTAATCACTTCACTAAAGCATTGTTATTTAAACACTGTTCAGGGTTTAAAAGTCTAAGATGTGTTTGTTCAAATCAGCTTTATCATGCAGAGTATCTTTATGTTCTGAATTTTAGTGTTTTATTTTGGAAGTGATATTTTTAAGGGTTTTGGTAAACCTTGATTAATATAGCTAGAGGTGGGTGGAAATGGAATTAATGTAATTAAGATTTTTTCCTGCTTGGGCTCTGAAGGTTGGCTCTGACATCGGATTACTTTGTATTCTAATTGCTACATTTGGGTTCAGGATCAGAGCAAACTGGTGAGTTGTGTTGATTTTTTTCACCCATTTGTAATAAAATATTTTCCTTCCAGTGTTCAAACTCAAAAAAGAGAGAAACTGTTTATGGGAACTCTCAGAACCCACCATTGTTGATGGGAACTCTCAGAGTGGGACTGACCACAAGTCCCCAGCAGTATCACCTTCAGGGGGCTCATAGTGCAGGGCCCCCGGGTCCAGGCCAGACCTATCAGAGGCACAAGGACCCCAGCATGGGAGCATGGGTCAGCGCATGGGATACATAAATGCCTATTCACAAGGAGGCTTATGTAGTAAGTGACCAATGTATTATTTTTTTTAAAAAGGTGATGACCTTGGAAAGAAGTATTGTAAGAACAGCAATGACCTTGGAAATAAAAGTATTTTGCTTTGAACCTTGGCTATCTTTTATGAACTGATCTAGAGTAAATAATTTGCATCTCTCTGCATCTTGGTCTCTTGTTTTCAAGGATTGTGATAAGAATTGGATTAGATCTGGCGCCTGGGTGGCTCGGTTGGTTAAGCGACTGCCTTTGGCTCAGGTCATGATCCTGGAGTCCCAGGATTGAGTCTCACATCGGGCTACCTGCTGAGTGGGGAGTCTGCTTCCCCCTCTGACCCTCCCCCCTCTCATGTGCTCTCTCTCTCTCAAATAAATAAATAAAATCTTTAAAAAAAAAAGAATTGGATTAGATTACAGGGAAAGCCGGGTAATACAGTGATTAGTCCAATTAGTATTGGTTTTCTGCTCCCCTCCTCTGGGCTGGTGCATAAGATAGTATTCCTGTTTTTCAAAATGGTTGCAATAATGGAGCAAGTGGCCAATTTCTTTAGCTCTCAGTACGCGCTCTCCTGTGGAAACCATCTTACCATTAATAACTCCTCCTCTTTGCCTGGGCAAGGTTTCTCCCCCACCATTGTCACTCTGACCTGCCCAGCCCCACTCACCTGGGACACAGAGGAGCAGCAGAGCTAATGGCAGCCACATGGTCTTGTCCCACTGAGGTGTCTCCAGCTGCAGCTGAAACCTCCTCAACCAGGGTCGGCTCACCCCATCTCCCTCTGGTGTCTCTCCAACTGCAGCTGAAACCTCCTCACCCAGGGCCGGCTTACCCCATCTCCCCCTTCTGCTTTCCTTGGCATTTCTCTGCTTCCTTTTTCAGCCTCTTGGTTCTTTTCTCAGAGCTGCTCAGAAAATGGGGGAAGTGAGGGGCTCAGGGCATCGTACGGTCAGCTGATGGCTTGCTGAAGTTCATCCTCAGAAACACATTTGAATGGACAGTTCTTGTTTCTGTTCCCTCTGAGAATGATGCCCTTACCATAACTTCACCCGCAGCCAACACACCCTTGTGCCATTCAACCAAGTTATCACATTGACTTCCATCTAGATTTTCTGAGCAAGCCCCCGCCCCTCCCCTGCTCCCCATCTATGAATAGCAAATGTCCTGTGATTGGTGTGGCTGGCATGAGCAGTCCTGCGAAGAAAAGGCATGACCAAGCCTTCTCTGGACAAGACCCTCTATTTGCAGGGCCCAGTGCGAAATGAAAATGCGTCTATCCCAGAATTACCAATAATATCAAGATAGCAACAGTGGAGCATTTAATCAAGCCCTTCTGAGTGGGGTTCCGGTGCACCTGCAAAGGTGCATCCTCATGGGCCGGCCCCTGTCTCTCTCTCTTCCTGGAGCAGGGTGTGAGGCTGGGTCCCCTCTTGGGGTGTGCTCTGCTCTTCTCAGCCCCCAGCCCTCAGTCTGGCCCCATAAAGTCCCAGAGTCCTCGAATGGGTTCCTGTCTTGGTCACGTGCTCTTGACCAGGGCCCAGCGCTCTGGCACCAAGCCATCCTCAAGCCTCACCTTTAATCTGTGTGGTTAAATGAGCCCCAAGATTCTCATGGCTACAAAAGTTTCAGTATATTGAATGGTAACTCAGGTGCACTTGGCCAGAAATGTGCCCAATGACACAAAACAGCCAGGGGAAACTTATAAAGGCAGGTGCAAATTTGGGGTGTCTTATCCAGGAACCCAGATTCACATAAACAGAAAAGTCTAAAATTCTGGAATCCCATTGTCAAACATTCTTAGCTGGATGTTTCAGTAAGTAACTTGCCTGCTTGTTTTTTGCTGTACTGGTAGACCCCATATATTCTGATGTTTTGTGTGTGCGTGCATGGGTGTGTGTATGTGTGTGTGTGTGCGCACACGCGCGTGCACGCACCTTCCCTTTTCATGGTGGGAGGTCATTTCCTGCACAACGTGTTCAACAATGACACAGAACTGACAGAGCTAAGGAGGAGGAAGTTTGCTAGAAGCAGAAGGATTTTTTCAATTTATTAGCTTCCATTTACTTGGGCTCCTTTGCTCCCTCATTAACCCTTAGGGTTTGGGTACATGAAGAGGTACAAAGATTCATATTCATCTTTTGTACCCTTTTCTCACTAGTCCTTGTGATATTTGCCTAAGAATTATTATTTTCTTTTCAACATGACCTTAAAGGAAAATCATTCCCCCTCAAATGTGATCTATGATGTGCCCC